GGGGGGGGGGGCTATGAACCTGTTTTCTGTGGGGTGGTGGGCTATGAACCTGTTTTCTTTTGGGGGACTAAACTGAGAATAATTGAAAAAGATTAATGTGACACATAACTATGTATACGCTGCATTTAAGGTCTGAGGCTCAAGTTCTAGAAAAAAAAAAGAAAGAAAACTATAGCATAATTAGCGTAAATGTTTTGATTGCTGAAATTAATGTTTTTGATTGGTTCGTACAAAGCAAAGGCAGCAGATCAATGCCTGCGCCGACAGCTGGGGGCCATGCATGCTTTTATCTCTCCACAGCATTGCTATTTCAATCTTGCCTGGTGGCCGGCTGGAATCATTGAGATTGAGTGAGCAGGCAAGGATCACGATCTGGCATATTCTATTTTCCTCTTACTTTGGAATTATAAAACATTGGTTGCGTTGTTGCATTTGTTTTGGAATATTAAACCATTAGCTTGTTGTTGCATTTATTTTGGAATTGTAAACCATTGGTTTGTTGTTTTATTTATTTTGGAAATATAAACCATTGGTTTGTTGTTGCATTTATTTTGGAATTATAAACCATTGGTTTGTTGTTGCATTTCAACTGAACATAATTTATAAATCACATATGTTTAATCGTTCATAAATTATCATACTATTTGTGTTATTCTCTTATTTTATCTTTCGACAAAGTTAAATAAGAACTAATTTTAGAACTTTTCCCCTTTTCTTTGTTATAGAAATATATTACTTGAAAATTTTACAAATATGAGTAGTTAGTCTGAAAGGCTAAAAAAAGGGAGGGGGGGTGTTCCTAAAACAATTTGCTTTTCATCTTTGCTCCATTTACAAAAGTAAACATAGATGTAATTGCTTTTTATTCATTATACGTCTCTAATGTTACTACTGCATTATTTATAGGATTGTCTATAAGGATATAATGTAGCTGCACTCCTCAAATCCTCAGCATCAGAAAGTAGGGTCTAGGTGGTGACTACCACCATTACATGGGCTGTTACTTTTGATATAGTTTTTTAATGAAAGAAACGAGCACATGTACATTATGACCAACCAATATGACGCTAAAATTTAAATCTAAAACCTTTACGAATCGATTGGTGCGTTATCTCAATCACGCTACTCTCTATCGATTGGTCCCCCCTTTTCAACAGATCGATGTCCCGCTAAAATATTCGTTGAACGATGATATATTAGAAGAAAGAAAGAAAAAAGAAATCTGAGCCCCGCTCTCCAAACTCTTCCCGCAGAGGGAGGAGGTCGTTTTCCTCCAGCCCCCTTCCCGCAGGTCGTTTTCCTCCAGCCCCCTTCCCGCAGGTCGTTTTCCTCCAGCCCCCTTCCCGCAGGTCGTTTTTCGTCAGCCCTCTTCCTGCAGAAGGAGGAGGTCGTTTTCCTCCAGCCCCTTTCCCGCAGGTAATTTTTCTTCAGCCCCCTTTTTCTTCAGCCCCCTTCCCGCAGGTCGTTTTTCTTCAGCCCCCTTCCCGCAGGTCGTTTTTCTTCAGCCCCCTTCCCGCAGAAGGAGGAGGTCGTTTTTCTCCAGCCCCCTTCCCGCAGAAGAAGGAGGTCGTTTTTCTTCAGCCCCCTTCCCGCAGAAGGAGGAGGTCATTTTTCACCAGCCCCCTTCCATATTATCATCCAAATCTGACGCGTTGCCAAAAATTAAATTTTAATGTACAAAGGATGAACCAAGAACTTTCTGTATGAAGTTTAATCTCTCAGTTGTTTTAAAGAAACCATTTTATGCTTTCGATAAGCTGATACTGGCAAATCTCAAGGGGGTCACCGGCAGATGTTAATAGAACTTATCAAGATTTTGGAACAAAGAGCGCAATACAAATGTGAAATCTTTGCAATGATTTTTCATTCATCATCTTTAGCCAGCAGTTCAGCACCTTGCTATTCCTTTAGGGGTACAAATCTGTCCCATCCCCACCCCAAAGTGCACAGTAAAGCTGTCAATGCTCAGAAATTAGACACAGATCTATGGAAATGTATGACGACAAATCCTTTAATTAACTTCGCTTTTGTTGGTGTTTTTCTTTTTGGTGTGTGGCAAGATCTTAGGAAAGATAAATTAAGCCTGTCAGATTTTCTGGATGCCAAGTACGGACACAAGGCTCCCAGATTACTTTGAATAATGAGTGGGACAAACTTCTGATCTAACCTTTCCTGGCATTTTAGCAGGGACTCTTAATTCCTTAGCTACTTCAACAAATGTTGCAGTCTGCCTTTCAATCTCTTGTACAATTACCTGTAACTTAGCAGCTTGGTTTTGTTGGAAATACAACCAGAGCTCTGTGTCTGGGTTGTTGTTTTTTTTAATGTCTTAACAGTACACACTAGGGACCCAAATTCCTCTCAAAGTTTCAAAGACAGTGACCAAGTTAAACGAAAGCCAGGAGTCACTCTTCCCGCATTGACCGTGGCACAGGCTGCGCAGAATGTCTCACGCGGTTTAACTCAGGTATAACAGCATGCCTAGGTTAACGTGAAATGCTCCGCACAATGGCGCTGAAACTGTTCATCGGGCTGGCCTTACGGGGAAAGTCTGCTTCCTCGTTTCCTCCCGCCTTTCAATGTAAAAGGACTGGGTTGTATCTAAGCTTGTGCCAAAAGAATACCAAGGGGCATGGTGCAACTGGAGTAAATTCAGTTTGTGTTAGATGTCCTTCCCCCTCCTCACCGGACGTTTGGAAAATCCTTTCAACCGCTCAACTCGTATGAAAATGAGTCCTCTTACCGAGCAGATGGCGGAAACAATGACAAACAACAGTGGATGTATAGATCCAATGTTCAGAAAAGTTGGAGAAAATCTGTAGCCCGTGATTTTTTTTTTTTTTAAAGTCATAAATTAAATTTCTAGCATTTTCCGGAATCTTCATTTATGTGGTTGAAAGGTTAGAAGGGCTCAGAGGCAGTGACGTAAGCATTATGGTGGAGGGAAGGGTCCATCCCGGGCGGCACATTGCTCCTTATATGGAGGGGTGGAATTTTCGGCAAAACGAAGAGTTTGTTTTTTTTCATGGAAAGTGTGTGTGGGTTGGGGGGGGGGGAATTTTGACCATTTATTATTTAAATTTTCTTTTAAAGAATGGGGGGGACAAAGAAAAATTTTGTTTTGAATTTCCTGTACAGACTTTATACGTAAATAAGCATTAATAACAAGCTACATGTCTGAAACATACAAATTACTACCTAATTGTCCACATTATGTTCATAACATAAATCTTGACATGTTAAACATTAAATGTTGCTTGTGTGACGTGTTAAGCTAATTCATTTAAGCTGCACATGACTTTACTTTGGCTTATGTACACTGAACGGACTTCCGACAATGTTCATTCATAAGTTAAGTGCCTCTATATTCTCCTAAACGAAAGCTCGCCGTTGTTCCATCTCCCTAGGCTGAACTGCAGGAGATGGCTGTCACAATGAATCGATTGTAGCAATGTTTGCAGCGGTACGTACGCCCAACGCTCGGAGGACGACTCTAGTCTAAACAATAGCTTAGTAGCGCCGCCCGATCGATCGCAGAGCGTTTTATTCCTGATCTCTCCAGGCTTTGGGAGGAGGCTGCTTTCTGTGTCTGCTTCTTCATAACAAACATTGACAAGATGATGCGAGGGTGAGTTTTACATTTGTATTTTGGGGGATTTTTGGGGTCAATCTTTCTGTACCTATAAGTGTCCTGAATGACGTGATCTCAAACAAGTATTTTTTTTTTTTTTTTAAATTTCGCTAAGAATTTTTTGTGTGTTAGTGCTAAGGTAATTTCAACATCGCGAAAAAGAATGATGCCTTATGTCAACTTGGCTTAACTGTGATTGAAATAAATAATACACTATATACCCGGTCAATAGGAAAACGTGTACGAATGGTTTAAGAGAAGAATTGAAGGTATGCTGAATGTCACTGCAGCCATTTTCAGGCATTTAAATAGCATGGCGTAGCTTGTAGACCCCATACACACATGTTACATACATCTGGTGAAGCTAATTGAAGCTTTCTGCAACCATTTAACCATTCTTTTATTACGATAAACTTTCTGGTTGAGTTTAAACATTTCTATCATATAACCGACATCCTGATAGCATGTTTTTAACTTTTCTATCAAGTAAAATACAAATGATTAAAAATGTAGAAGAGTGCTATAGCAGTATTAACCAAAACTTTCAGCTTTCAAGGCCATGGACTCAGATCACGGGGATCTATTGATCTCTGGGATCAATATTCTCTTTTATAATTAATGTTACCCCCAGACGTTGCGATGTTCAAAATGAGCAAGCGTCCCAAGATTAGACTCCTGAGTGAAATGTTTTAATCTAGGATGTTTTATATGTTGCTATGCATTCGACCGAGTTTATAGATGTGACACTAAAGGAGACCGCTTTTATTGGTGAATTATTCTCTGCAGATACTTATATAGACGAATGTCTTAAATGTTATTTTTGGTTTGGGCCATTTCTTTAGATGGTAATTATCTCTTCCCAATATTTTTTTCATTTTTAAATCCGAGAAAATCACTGATGAAAAATCCACATTCTATTTGTTAATCGACACATATTGTGTACATTCCCATTCATGGCAGTACGGTACATCAGAAGCAACCAGTCAACGCGCTGATTTCAAATACGGTTTTCTAGGATACTCGAGTAAGTTCACGCGAGCACCGGATTCGTGTTTGATCTTGTCAGATTGCACCGAGCTCATGGCATTAACCGTCACGAACAAATGATTGACACGCACGTAATTAAATATAATGACCGGATTGTTACCTGTCCTTACAATCAGGAAGCTTACTTTGTCACTCCGACTTAATCCATTACTAAGTGCATTACAAAATGTGTTTCTATGTCATTCGATAGATTTGGCGATCTTTAAATATGTGTGCTCGTGCATCACATTTACTCTTTATTAACGCAAAACGCCCACATTTTCTCTTTATAAATAAATGCATAACACCCAAATTTATTCTTTATAGACACAAAATTACCCATATTTTCTCTTTATAAATAAATGCATAACACCCACATGTATTCTTTATAGACACAAAATCACCCATATTTTCTCTTTATAAACGCAAAACGCTCTCAATAATATTTTTTTGTAATGTACATCTACAATTAGTTTCCAAAATCTGACACTCTTATCCATTGCACCCCAACACAGGAGTAAGAACTTCCCATTTTGGAGACAGCTGCGCTAGTCACAAAGAATTTAGTAATACGGTCTAATAAAAGAATAACTTCCAAGAAGTTGTTCAAGTGACCTTAGAAATCGTTTTGGGTTTAGTTACTGAAGCTGTTGGGGTTGGGGGGACAAGGGGTTTGGCTTGTCTTCCGTGGACCGCCTGGAGACAAAAGGATGATTTTAAAATGGAATATGCACATTTTACTTTTGTTGAGGGAAATTTGTTCGTAAAAATTCCGGAGAGACTATACCATCTACCATCTTTCCCAACCACGGGCCTCTCTCGATTAGGGGTCCGATAGTTTTATATCTGACCTATAAGTCCGGTATTTCATCAAAATGTCCGAACCGTCCTGTATGTATGCGAAAAAAATTAAAATAAAATACCCCACCTTCAATCAAAGCATCCCCACGTTGACAATGCTTCTACTCTCTAACAGGTTTGATTCCATTGAGTCTATGAATGCTGACGACCTGTTGGTGAAGAGAAAACGTGGCAGCAAGCGATTTGTAATCGGAGCTGCTGTCATCGGCGCCCTATTCTTTTTGGTCGGTATCTTGATTGGCTTCTTCAGCCACGAGAGTGAGCTACATCCCAGCACGCCAACGCCTAAACCAGAGAGGTGATGAGAAGCAGCAAGTAGACAGATTTAAATATCATTCTTTTCAACCTAGTTTCTAATTAATTTCCTCTGGAAAAATGAAATTAAATGGGAAATAAATTAAAATGGCCACATAACCAATGGCGAACCTTTGGGGTCGGAAGGGTACGGCCGCCCCGGGTGACAATTTTTGGGGTTTCATAAAGCATTAAATAAATGGTGTGTGCGTGTATTGTGGCAAACTGAAGTAAAGGTTCGCCACAGCATATATTTAGTTAGACCAGATAAACTTTGAAATATTTGTTGCAATTTTTTTTTCTATATAGATCTACCAATGACATGCTTTGTTGATGGGTGTTTAGTTCTCATAAAGTCATTGAATGATTTTCATATAAATAAGTTTTTTGCGCTGCATATCTACAGCAGTGTGGCTTCTGTATTAAGGGCCGTAGGTCATGCTCTGGAGGGGGCAGAGGTCTAAGACAGTGTGTACGTTTGTGACGGAGAAGGGGTGGTTAAAAGATCATATGTGACGTCACGCATTTTTCAAATGGCTATCATACATATAAAACCTGACACTGACAGTGGTGTTTAAAACTTAATTTGTTGTTAATTTTTAAACATGTTTTTAGTTCCAAAGTGTAGCATACCTGGGGCGGGGGGGGGGGTCCGAGATTTTTGACAAAGGGAGGGGTAAAAAGTGTCCAAAAGTAGCGTGACGTACTTAATGTTAGTCCATTTGAGACTTACGCCAATTATGTAATGACCCGCGATTTTGATATGGCCAACATATATAGTCTGTCTATGATGTCTATGCTGGCTGTGACCTGGCTGTCTATGCTGGCTGTGACTTGGCTGTCTATGCTGGCTGTGACATCTAAGCTTGTTTAGGAAAAATAGTGCCGGTTACTCTCAGTGACACTTGTAGGCTCTTAGGGCCTAGGCCTAGATATTGGGATAAAACGAATGACTTCACATTTTCGAATAGTTTCCTTGGATTTAATTATGGCCGCTTGCAGCACTTGATGTAGAGCATTATTTTCTTTCTTTCATTTTCAGATTGGATCCTACACAGTTTATGATACAAAATGTTGATGCGCAATTTCTTCGGAACAAACTTCAGTACGACCACAGCTCTTTCATCTAATTGACAGTGAAATTACTTAAGGCTGACATAAGTTATGCTGAGTAAATTAACATAAAAGAATATTTTATCGGAGCGAAATTTTCCCGTAAAAGTAAAAAAAGTACAAACTTTTATTAAACAGAACTTCAAAAACTTACCAGTATAAAATGTGATGTTTTTCCCCCCCAGAAACTTTACTTCTCAAGTTCGCATGGCTGGAACTGATGGAGCCGCTTCTCTGGCTGAAACCATCCAGTCTTTGTGGCTATCAAGTGGAGTGGAAAATGTTCACATCGCATCTTATGAAGTGCTAATTTCATTCCCGAATCAGTCTGAACCAAACAAGGTAACTTTAGTTGATTTAAATCCACTGAGAACTGTCGAGATTCTATGTGTTAGACGAGATTTCTGAAAATGAAATGAAGTTTTTTTGGGAAAATAAAATCCGGATCATGCTGAGGTCAAGGCAATTAAATGAAGAACAAAGAAACCTTAGACATTTAAACTATGGATTTCAATTAACAAGTAGCCTGTTCAACGATTCTCAGACTGACCAATTGTCTGCGTTGGTTCTGTAAAGCTATTTGTTTGGTCAGTAAATAAAATTTACTTGATTTCAGAGAAATGGCAGCAAAAACCTAACCCTCTATTAACAAAATGTGGATTCTTAAAAAAAAATAAACCTTGGGTAAGCCAAACCTTGTAAAGAAAAGTGGGCCCGAGACTAACAACCGTTAAGAATCAGTATGTTAATTTATGGACTTTGACTTTTTTTTTTATTTCAAGGAAAATATTATGAGTTAGCTTAATTTTATGATTTCCAGAATGCTTTTATACTTTGCAGGTGGAACTTGTGAACAAGACCTCAGGTAGAATGATTTTCACATCAAATCCATTTGAGCAAGAGCTGAGACCAGCGGAGAGAAATTCTACGGTTGTGAGCTTCACTGCATATTCTCCAAAAGGATTAGTATTGGTAAAAAAAAAAAGTTTTAAAATAATATACATAGATAAGCTCATTATCATGTAATATTTAAAAATTTAGGATTTCAGGAAAGACAATCTGAAAATCAGAAAAAGATATTATTTAAATTCACTTGATTTTGTTTTTTCAAAAATCCAGTTTGTAAAACCCAACACAATACTTTTAAAATGGATTTTATTCCTCAGGGTGATATTGTTTATGTGAACTATGGCAGAGTGGAAGATTTTGAGTTCCTAAGAAATAATTTAAGTATTAATGTACATGGGAAAATAGTCATTGCACGTTATGGAAAGATATGTGGTGGAAATAAGGTAGGTATGAATGTAACAAACCTGGCTTATCCACATTGCTGTGCTTTTTAATTTGTCAAGGCAGTGGGGGACAGTAGAAAAATGATTAATTAATCAACTCATGTCATGTTTATGTTTGAATTAATAAACAACTGAACAATTATGATTATTTAAAAACTTAGTTTTCATCTGTTTAAAAATATATATATTGCCTTTCCCACTACACCCTTGCAGATATCAAAGACTGTGTTTTTAAATAAGCATTGGGTGTTTTCACTTGTAAATTTTATAAAGATTATAATTTGATAGATATAGCAATTAAAATAATTATAAATTAAAAAATGTCGTTAAATTTTTTAATCCAGATACTGTAAAAACTGCAGGCATTTAAATTTGATATAAACTCACTTGATCAATTCACTAGAGATTTTAATTAATAATTACTAGAATGAAAAAAGCAGATATCTTATATAGTAAGACTTTAAATGTTGTGTTTATTTTACAGGTTTTAAATGCAGAAAAATTTAATGTCAGTGCTGTGATCCTCTACGCAGATCCTGCAGATGTAAATCAAGAGTTCAATGGAAAAAATGATGAGAAGACTCATCCTGATTCATGGTGGATGCCTAGTGTTGGGATACAGAGAGGAACAGCTTACACACAGCGTGGTGATCCTAAAACACCAGGATATCCCTCTACAGGTGAAAAGGATCATTTTTAATTTTTTCAAAAGAAAATCTGTTGTAAATTAAATGCACACTTTTTTTTTTTTTTAATGTACTTAATAATTGCAAGGATTAATTTTTATTTTAAAGGAATTGAATATTCCAAACTTAAAGTTTAGTTAATATTTTCACTAACCCTTTATTTAATATTCATGTTTACAGATTATGCTTACCACCTAGATAAATCAAATATGCTCTTGCCTAAGATACCCTGTCAGCCAATCAGCTATGGAGATGCACTGCATATTTTAGGGTTGGTATAGAATTTGAATCCTTTAAGAAGGGAATAAAGGGGATGTAATTTAACTTTGAAGTGCCTTCGAACAGCAATAAATTTCCGTTCAATCAAATCACCGTCTATCAATTTACCGTCGAAGAAATTTCTTTCGATCAAATTAGTGTTTGGTGTTTTACATCAAATTGGAAACAGATTACATTTTGTTTATCTTTATTTTTAAGCAATCTAAGTGGACCAATATCCCCAGCAAGTTGGCATGGTACTTTACCCATTGAGTATAGAATAGGACCTGGCTATGACAATGCAACGGACATGTAAGTTAATGGTTTACTTTGTAAACACTCTATAAAATTACCTCAGGAAAATTTAGATATGAATATTCCATAATTATAAGTCTGAAAACATTCATCAATTTATAAATAGGGCCATTATAGGCGTATCTTTTCATATAACTTGAACACAATTCAAATACAATGTTTATTCATCAAGTTATAAATAATGTTCACATCACATCATTATAGGGGTATCTTTCTTTTTAACTTGAACACCATTCACATACATTGTTCCACAGTGAAGTAAAAGTAACAGTGAATAACTATTTGGACAACCGTCCATTGTACAATGTTATAGGAACTATCCAAGGAAGTGAAGAACCAGGTCAGTATGAGAATATTGTAGTTTGAAAATTAGATTGTCAAGGAAAGAGAAATAGAAAAAAGTTATTAAGATTTTCAAATTTCAGTTTAAATAAACCATGAATATTAAATGTGACCTTTTAAGTTTTAAAAGAAACAATGACAAATCTTAAATGGTATGACAATGACTTTGTATCCTCAATGATAAAATCATACACTTATCCCATTGTAAAAATTGAACTAAATAAATAAACTCCAAATTATGTCGTAGTATTTATTATGTTGCAAATGTGTGTAAATGCCTTTGTAGAAGAATTCTTGCTGGTTTCAGACAGGTATGTGTTGCTTGGCAGCCATCATGACTCCTGGGTTTATGGTGCAGTAGATGCTCACTCTAGCAGTACTGCATTAACTCAAGTAGCTGAGCTTTTTGGTCAGCTTCTTAAGCGAGGTATTGAAATCCCAATTAGATCATGTCCTTGGTGGTAGGTCGCCAATAATAATGTTTCCTTACTGTAAAAAGAGCATATGAAAATTATAAACTTTAAAAAATTGTAGTAAATTGTTATTTTAAAAAATTGATAATACATTTTTATTTCTCAGATTTGTTCATTTTTGCATCTCTGTCATAAATACACATTTTTAAAATAAAAAGCAAGTAGAAGGTAATGTAACTTAATTGTTTTCTTTATTTGGAAAGCAAAAAAAATTTGTCCCAAGAGTTCCTAAATATATGTTTCACTGCTTTATTTAGCATTCAACAAAAATATATACTTTTTAAACAGGTTATCGCCCAAGAAGAACATTAGTCTTTTGCAGCTGGGATGCTTCAGAACCAGGATTGATTGGATCCACTGAGTGGGTTGAGGTCAGAAAAACTTATTTGAAAGAAAAAAAACTAAAATTAATTATAATTTTTTTTTTCTCAGAATTGTTGACTCTCTAATCATGCACCTTTGATTCATCTAGTTGATTACATTCCTTTTTTTCTGCCTTGATAGGACAATCTAAAAAATATATTTGAAAGAGCTGTGGCATATCTGAATGTGGATATGATTGTCCAGGGCAATTTCACACTGGATGTTTCAAGCAGCCCCTTATTACAAGATGTACTTTACACAACAGCCAAACAGGTTTTAAATCTTAGTACACTTTTTATTTTTGTTTTTAATTTTCTCATTTTTTTCTAATTTAACTTTTTAACTTAAAAATAATAAGATAAAATAAGATTCTTTATTGATCCAAATAAATTGAATTTTTTTTGTTACAATGAATATATTCATTTTCAACACAAAAATAAATACATATTTTAACTGACAAAATTTTACAATTGTAAAAATTTAAACACAAGACATCTGAAGTATTTGTCTATCATAGGAATCAGTCATCATTGAGCTCTCTTAGTGACAATAATGACTTAATTAGTGATGATTTAGATTTGGTAACTGCTGTGGGAGCATGCTGGTAAATTCGTACAGACTGAGGAACAAAATAATTTTTATATATTTCGGTCCTAACTTTAACAGAAAGAATTCGCCCAGATCAGAGCAGATCTTAGGGATGTGTGATGAAGTGAGTGGGATGGATCAAAATTATAAAGTGCCTAATATTGTATTAACAACAAAAATGTAGCAAGTTGATATCTCTGCTGCCAAGTCATTATTTGGCCATTAATAATTTTCAAAGCCTTCTTGAAAGAAAATCTTCTTACAGATCAGAGATAGAAAATGTTTGAACATTTTATTTATGTTAAACTTTCTATTATTTAGAAGAAATATTTCAAAAGGTGATAGCTTTGAACTGCTGTAAATCATATCTTAAAAGGTATAAAAAGATTTTTTTTAAACAAACAAGTACAAATAAATGTTCTATCTTCAATTATTTTTCTTAATTTTTTTACTTAGATTCCAAGCCCAAAGAAAGAATACAAAACACTGTATGATTTATGGCAGGCCAATTCAATGTCAAACATAAATGATAGAGAGCCAAGGTAACAAAAGTCTTATTAAATATAGTATTATATTCATTTGTAAAAATAATGCCCCTCCTTAAATAAAGCCATGAGAAATTTTGCCTTAACTTGCCTTCTTTGTTTGCTCTAAGGGTTACATATAGCTTAGGAGCTGGTAGTGATCAAGCTATATTTTACCAACTTGCTGGAGTTTCTTCTGCCAATTTTGGTTTTACATTTGATCCAGTAAGTTTTGAATTTTTCAAACGTTGATAGGCATTTGCTCTAATTTCTTTTTAAAATCCTTTTAGATTATTGTATTTTTATAGCAAAGTCCACAGGAATTAAAAAGCTTGGTTTAAAAAAGAAATTTAAAATTTATTTAAGGTTAACTTAAATCAATAATAAATATTTAAAATCAGTCAAAACATTGCACTTTATATTTTCATTTGATATATCAATCAACGTTTTAATCATTTTAAAAAAACATATGATGCTCACAGCTGAAAATACTTTAATTGAGACTTTTTAAAAGAAATAAATCTGTTTATCTAAAATATTTTTTTTTTTCAGAAAAAATATCCCATGACAACATATCCATTGTATCATTCATCATTTGATAATTTTTACACATTTGAGCATTACCTTGATCCAGAATTCAAATATACACAATCTATGACTCAGTTTTGGGCTGTGTTGGCTAAGTGAGTAGAGCTATGGCAATGATGATTTTTAAAAATTTAATGTGATTGAATTTTAGATAAATTTAAAATAGTGTTTCTCAATGAAGAAGTTTTGTGACAACTAAATCTTGGCTAATATTCTTGGCTTTGAATTTTATTACATGAGATAACAGGCCGACCATTTTAGGGTCCTGAAGCTGGTGCTATTATGATACCCTTCACCATAAGTAACCTATGTTATCTTCCTACGTAGCTTTTCTTTCCATAAAAGAATAACACAAAATTTAGACAAATATAACCCCTTCATTTTAATTGATTGATACTGAATTATCTCACATGTACATTTGATGGTAAAATTCTGTGAAATATGTTATAGATGCCTGATACATCATAAATTGATGAAGAATAAAAAAGCCTATAGAGTCTGTTTTAAAATACCTATGAGAGTAATACTGCAAGAAGCATTTTAGCAAATTCTATTTTCTTTGGGGTTTTCGTTTAGCCTAATGCAAACTGTAGACTCAACATTTTGAATAAATATCAACTAAACCAACTTCTTTCTTAGTTAGAAGCTTAAGCTTCCTAATTTTAAGAGTTGATCTGGACTTGCTCCAAAAACATTTATAGTCTATATAAAGCTATAAACAGAATTATAATAATGTTCCAGAGCTGTCCGATTAAATGTAGAATTATTTTTATTTTTTTCAGCATTTAAAAAAAATTATTTGTTCTTTACTTTATACAGCAATCTTGCGGATGCTAAAATTTTACCACTTAAAGTAACCAGATATTCCACAGCAGTTAAAAAATTTATATATGACCTCATAAGAGTCTATGAAGAAATTTGGAAAAAGCACAATGTTCATACTGGTAAGTCTGAAAAATAGTAAATTTTTAAAATATGCATTTTAAAATTCAAACAAGTTGTCTCATACTTTTTGAAATGCTAAGTAGTATCAATGATTCTATCATTTAAAAATTAACAAACAATTAGTTTATATCAACAAATAATCGTTGGCAAAGCATTATGAAAATTCCTCATTAATCAAGTAATTAAAGAATAAAATATGTCTGGACAAAACTTTGATGAGTTAAAAAGAAAAAATCTAATAATTAAAAAAAAATATTCTTATTACAATTTTCTAGATCCATTATTGTCTTCTGTGCAAAATTTCACGGAGGCAACTTTGCTGTTTGAAAACAGACTATCTTCAGAAAAAGATCTTGAAAAAAAGTGAGGATTTGTAGCAGATGAAATTTAATGCTCCAGATTGAAATGAAATGCTTTTATCAGTTATACTTACACACTGTTCTCATTGTTTTCTTGAGTTAATATTTTACTTAAGTAATTTAAATTTATTTTTAATTTTCGACTTTAAAATCTTTAAAATTTGAATGCAAATTGGAAAATAAGGTATTTATTACATATTTAATAATGTGGATAGAAAATGATTTTGTTTGATTATTTGATGTGTAATTTTTCTACAGACCATACCGAATGAGGATGTACAATGATCAAATGATGAAGTTGGAAAGGGCATTTTTGAACTTTGACAGTTTGTCAGAAAGGCCTTACTCAAAGTGAGTTTCTATTTTCACTATCTTCTAGCTTCATTATAATAACTTGACCATTGTGGCCCACAAATTAATTCTGCAAGAGGATAATGTATATTTGAGTAAAATTGTAATTTTTAAAAAATTAATTTATGGAAGTTAGATCCTTAAGACTTTGAAAATATTTAAAAAACTGTCAACACTGTCAACACTTGGGCCAAAATGTTTCTTCCTTTTGGTTTTCCCTTGTGAGTTACTCATGAAAGTTAATGGGTAATTGAGAAAACCCCTACAAATATAATGAGGTGCATCCTCTAATTCCTGGAAAGAAATCCAAGTCTGCTATAAAATTGAAAGTGAAAACAATTAAATTTGCCATCTTGTTATGAAAAAAATTTAAGATGAAAAATAAGCTCCCAGTTACAGGTTCTAAGAAAAGGAATTATTAATTGAGCCAACCTTTTATTTTTTCAGACACATAGTGTTTGCACCAAGTGCTTCAGATTTAAACACAGATTCTTTTTTCCCTGGCTTGACTGAGACCATGTATGACATTGAAGAGGAACTTGATAAGTGGAACCAACTCAAAGAACAAATGTCTATTACAACTTATTTTTTACAATCAGCTGCAAAAACCCTGTCAGAGAATGGAATGTTGTAGCTTAAAGTAAGCCCCTACCATGATAATATTTTTATAACCCAGTAGTTATCTTTATTTCCTTACTTTGATTGGACATTTTTTGATAATTTTACAACTATGACACTTTTTCAAAAAATATATTTTCTAATATATATTTAGATTTTTAGATAAAAATAATGTCTATTAGTTTAATCAATTTTTTTTCCTGTGAGTGACCATTAATGATATATATTTGCTTGAGCAAGTAATTGTTGGGAAAAATAATTTTAGTTCTCAGCCACCCATTAAATTGATGTGTCATTGTTTAGCAACGTTTTGAATGAAAGCAAACCAAATGAAATTATACAAATGAAGAGCTCTGGTTATATGAAAAAGTGGGGCGGGTTGGTTTGTGGGGTGGGAGGGGGGTGCTAAGTGTTTAAGGAAATGAGTTTATTATTGTTACTTCCCCGTCTTGTTAACTAGGCATTAGAAATAGGTAGAAGAGTAGGGCAACATTGTTTGCAGAAGATTGGGGCAACATAGCTGCTAGAAAGGGGGCAACATAGATGTAGAAGAGTGGGGCATCATAGCTGGTAAAATATTTGGGCAACACAGCTGTAAAAGAGGGCATCAATTGTAATTTAATAATTAAAAATAATATATGTACAAATTATAAGTTTTAAAAATATTTTTGTTAAATAATCTGTTAAAATGATTGTTGCTCAGAGCAACAAGACATTTTCCTAGCTCCAGCTCTGCTCAAACTATGGGCAAAAAGACCCTGTTCTAGAGCTCTGATCTCCGCTCCATATCACTGGTTAAAATAATTCTTAACAGTATCTATTCCAATCGTTGTTAAAATAAGTAGAAACAACAATAAATAGACTTCCTTGATATAATAGTTTGAACAATCCATATCTTAATGTATGTAAATAAATGAATGTAAAATAACTGACAGTTGACAGACTTCTGTTATGAAAATTGAGTGATTCAATTGTGATCCTTTAAATGTATATCTAAATATGTATTGAAAAGATTTTGACAAAATTATTTGATTAAATTATTAAATGAAATTATCATGTGATTCATTCCCTCACAATTCAAATATTGTTTTCATTCATGTAGCTTGCAGAAAAAAGTTAATTAGTCCAGGAAATGGCATGTCATTACTAAAGGTAACATTTCCATTTAAATGGGATTTAAGAATTACAACCAAGTCTATCATTTTATAAATATATTGTATTTTATTAAAGTCTCAATGGAAAATAAAATTAATGCCACGCTTATACAGGAAACCTAACAAAAAAATGTCATCATCATTTGCCATTTTTTAACCTCTTTTTAAGAATTAAAACTATTTTATGAAAAATGATTGAAACAAATAATGCATTTTTAAAAATTAGTAATTTATACTAATAATAATATTGTATCGAGAAAAAAAATCGGCCATTGCAAATTATTTTGTTATTCTTTAATTTAAAAACGTAATACTGACTTCATGAAATTTATTTGGTGCCTTTTTAAACAAAGGAATTATTTTTTTTAGACTATTCTGTTAGACAGTAAAATTTTACCACTTTAAGTAACCAGATATTCCACAGCTGTACAAAAAAATGTATATATGACCTCATAAACGTCTATGAAGATTTTTTTAAAAAAGCACTATGCTATTATTGGTAGCTCTGAAAAAAAATTAATGTTTAAAATATGCACATCGGCACATATTTTAACAGGCTAGACCAGGGGTCGGGAACCTATGGCTCGCGAGCCAGATGTGGCTCTATTGATGGCTGCATCTGGCTCGCAGACAAATGTTCGATTATTTTAAAAAAGTCGCATTAATGATAAGAAATACTCATTATTGATTAGCAACAGCATAAAAATGTTATTAAAAAGAATTCAGAGACATAATTATTGCATTTTTATTGTTGAAATTACACAAAATGCACACATTTTACTTGAATTTTTGGTTTTAAACATAATGTATGGCTCTCAGAGATTTACTTTTCAAAATATGTGGTGTCCATGGCTCTCTCAGACAAAAAGGTTCACGACACTTGGGCTAGACCATTAACAGGGACCCTAGCTGTCGGGATTGCAGCCTGGTCCCTGAAACTCTAGTGCATCTGTTGACCACATGCACTTCACTAGATGTTTCAGGGGAGGCCAGTCGGGCGGGAGAGCCCTGTGTGAGAAAAATTTTATGACTTAAAGAGTTAAAATGTTGAATGCCTTGAATTAAAGCATTAGTTATGCAGATAACTTTAGCATAATGTTTATTTAGATTTGAATTTCACATCCTAACGTTTGTAACTTCTTTTACATTTAAAATTAAGTTTTTATTGAAATCTAATTGATACAGAATTATTATAACTTCTAATGTTTCTAAAGAATGATTATATTTTTCTAATGTTTCTGAAATAATGATTGTTTTTCTAATTTTTTTAAGCCATAAAAATAATAAAGCTGCTCAATCTTTTTATAACATTTGAATTGACAAAATAGAATAATATGTGTTGATCCTGTATGAAATTTAACTTGCATAAATTTAATAATATGATTGCAAATGTTACTGATGATATATTGTTAAAGATTCTAATGTGGCCTTTCTTACTTTAGAAGATTTTTAGACAAGTTTTCTTTTTAAACATTGCCGGCCTTTAGGACTGGTAAGCTTAGCCCCCAGCAATTTTGAGCTCCATTTATATTATGGTTTTATAGAAATGCCATACTTTAGAATTTTCTTATTTTGAAAAGAGCATCCTGAAATAAAGAGGAGGCTAAAGCCGGCATTGTTCATAAAATATTACATTGTTTCCAAGAGATACAATTGAAATATTGCTTTCTTAACATTCCATATTTAGAAACCAAACCTGACTTTTGCATCAAACTGCATGAACATTTTAAAAAATTTGTGGAAAGCACACAGTGGTTTTTTTAATGTTACAAAGAGAATGATTGGATGCTTTAAATATCATTATTATAAAATGAACATTTTTTTCTAGCCTTGTTAATTCCAAATTCCAGGATGCTAGTTGTGATTTTTAAGTGTCATGTTTTAAATTGTATCTTACAGGTAACCTGTCCATGTTGCTAAATCTCTTTTCTAAGCAAAGGCAGCACAGATAATTTTAAATTGTGATTATAATTAAGTTTTCACAAAAGTAAAAAAAAAAATATGAAAAATAAAACTGTCAATAGGTAATGAAAACTTAGAAAAAAAGGTAGCTGTAGATTCAAATTGTCATTCTTTTTGTGAGATGCACACTTCTTGTTGCAAAATATCAAAGTAAATATGTATTTTTATAAGGTAATTTTTAAAAAAATGCTTTGAGACAAAATGTTTTTTTATAGTTTTATTCAACTAGTAAAACAAAATTTAAATAATATTTAAAATAAGCAAATTTGCATTTACATGTTTCAAAGCTTACTAACAACCGATTTCTTGTTATTAGTATACTTTTGTTTTTCAAATATAACCAACTATCCAAGGGTAGAGTTAAAACATTAATAAAAGTTGAAATACAATCCAAAAGCAGTTTTTTATGAAAGCTAAATTGTAAAAAAAAATGTGCAGATAATTATTAACAGTTAGTGTACATTCAATAACAGAAGTATTCTTAATACTGAACAATACCCTCTCACTGCCCAACCCACAAAAAAAATAATTTTAAGTTTATAATATCATAAGCAGATAGTTACTGTCTTGGCAAATGGGAGTTTTTAAGTTTTGCCAGCAAATTCATGGTCATCACAGTTTAGCAATGTTGAAAATTAATAGTTCTAACAACTCTACTTTTCATAAGGTTCCTCTATATGGATCATTAGACAGAAAGTTGCAACTGAATAGTGATAAAAATGTATGAAAGGAAGATTTCTAACTATTAGAAAACATTTGTCTAAATTTATAATGATCGATAATTTTAAAATTTGTTTTCTTAATCATGGGATATGAAGCTGCACTTAAGAATGCATTAAGTTACGTGCATGTAGTAATTGTGTCAAAAAGAATACTAAAAAATAACTCCTCCTTTTCATATTTTTTAATATTCATAGCACCATTATTGCAGAGGAAAAGATTTAATTTTAAAGGAAGGTTTATAACTAAAAGTATGAGCAGTATGAGATGTGTTTATACAACATGACTTAAAAGATTTCTGTACTTTATCATCAACTCAGAAGCAGCTTTCCTCTCAGACTAAAACATGTCAGCTCAAAAGGAAAGAGACATACTTTGAAAAGTCAACATGTGCCAGTGGTGAGATTTTAAAAAGATAATTTGCTCAAATATATGCATCCTCCTCCGCACTATAAGGAAGGAAAAATGTAATAAAAATAATTTACTATGCTAACATCAATACACGGGAAGGGACTCTGTGAAGTAAATTTGATTTAACAACAGAAGCAGCTGATCCAAGCCATTGAGCAAGATTTATTTTAAGAACATTTATCAAAACAATATCTAACAATAAGTTTCATTAACAGATTTGTTTTACATGCAGTTTGAGTGAGCTGGTGCTAACCAGCTGAATACCTGATCTGCTTTGACACTTTTCTCATGGTTTTGATTTTGAATTGTATAAAAGGAAATTGATAAAGAAATTGTGTATAATGGCTGAAAGTGGATCACAGGTGTGATGGTTTCTTTTTAATAAGCATAGAAAAGAAAATGCCTCAGGAAAAAAAAATGGTCACAAAAAGTTGCCAGGAATAAAACATTTTTTTAAAAACTTTTAAAAAAACATGATTTTTCAAAAATGTACTAAAAAGTATAAAATAAATGTCCCCAAAACTTCACAAGTTGTTACAGTCTACGACTAAAAAAGCGTGGAGCGACCATGAAATCAATGTTCTTTGCTTCAGCTCAATTGGATATCAGGAAGTGGGTCAAAATTGAGCTGCAAGCTTTGACCACACACAAATTAACAAACGGACAGAGCAACCTAAGAAAAAGTCATTGTATGTCATGTGCAGCACACGCTTTTTTAGTCACATGACAGTAGCAACTTTGAAGTTTTGGGGGGAAATTTATTGTATACTTTTTAGTAAATTTTTTGGAAAAGTTGGTATTTAACAGTCTTTTTATATTGTTTTATTTTGTACTTTTTTGTCAAAGTGTACAAAGTTTCAGCTCAGTTGG